ACAAAACTCGGTGCGAGCAAAAATGAAAAAGGCACGCACACCACCTAACATAAATGACATGTTGGTCATTGTCAACGAGAAGAATGAAGCAGCTCACCGGTGTAGTCCAGAAATCTGCGTGTTATTTCCATACTCGAACTGTGTTAAGTATTGACTGTATTGTTTGAGGATGGTAATTCAGAATATTAATCAGTTAGCCAAAATTGAGGATCAAAATACACATTTTACATAAAAATAGCTGAGATGTGAATATATATGAAAAGTTGGTTGATAGTTGTGTGCATTTTATGATATAGTATTTGGAATATTATACTTGAACTTTAATGAGCAATGAAATTTCTCAACTGTAATGCCATCTCCTGATGCGTTCAGTTTTGTGCTTTGCTTCGCAAGGTAAACAAGCTAATCAACTTTGAATTTGAAAGGCGAGCTTGTGTTATATGTTCGTCATTTTAGCGGTGACTGTAAAGACCTCTGCATCTTATACTATATCCTATCCCACTCTATTTCTTCCACTCTATAAGATGGTGGTGTCCAATTTGTTCTATCTATGCGTGTCGGTCTCTTGCATCTCTACCATCATATTTTACCCTGCAATATCCCTTCTTACCTTCCCCTGCTATCGGAGCCAGGAATTGTGCGGGGTTAATAGTTCCACAGCATCATAATTTCTACATGTGCGTGTACACGAGAGAAAGAGGAATCCATTGGTACTAAAATCACTGTGATTGGTTATATCAAGGTAATGTGTAAAATTACTAAAAAGTTGGCTACTCATCTGCACTGTCTTCTCCAAGTTTCACTTCCCACAAAAAAAAAAAAAAAAAAAAAAAAAAACAGATATTCCAAGCAGTGGCCAAACACCCTCACACACTCACGGGGAGAGAGTCCTAGACGCTTGCTGGATGGGGAAGGGACACGAGAAATGAGGGAAAACTGGGGAAATGTGAATATCTCTCTCAGAACACTCTCCTGATTCTGAGAAATTATTCACCTCTCTCTCTCTCTCTCTCTCTCTGTTCTTACCTGTGAATTTAACAGTTATGTAAGCATCTAATGTGGCGGAGACACTGACAATATGTAGATATTAATCTTTTAAAAAAAGATTCCGGAGGCTACTAATGCCAATTATATCCAATGACGAAAAACCCGAGCGGACGCACCCACAGGCGGGATACCAGCCTATGACTGGTGGACCCTGTAAACACCAAAACATAAACACCGGGTGATGTTACCATTAAGCCTCTTTTGGGATAGTATGTTTGATTTCTTATTTTCAGAAAAATACTATAGAGGTATAGTGAAGATTAGTTAAGGAACCGAAGATATCATCACTTAAAATGCGTAACAGGTGTGTACGTTTCCCCTCGGGAATTAAAAATAAACTTGCCGACTGTTGTCATCATAAAAAAAAAAAAAAAAAAATCTCCTTTCCCTCATAGCAGATTTTGTTTCAAAGGAAGATGCTATTTGCAGTATGCCAAATAAGCACATGCAGTACTATTGCAATGGCTTGCTACTCTGAATTTCCAGGTTTCACAAGAACTGTAATCAGACAAATATTTATGTTTGTCCGTGCGTCTGTTGGTGTTTATTTGCAACGGTGCATGAATGCGGTTACAAACGCGTCCTTATTTGCGTATACTTATGAACTTACGCACAGTTGCATATGTAGAGAACTATACGAACACGCACTAACACGAGCGTGAACGAAATAGAGAGAGGGAGAGGAGGGGGAGGAGGAGGAGGAGGAGTAAAGGATGGAAAGGGAGAGGAGAGAGGAGGAAGAGGAGGGAGGAGGAGGAGAGGAGGAGGAGAGGGAGGAGGAGGAGGAGGGACGGAGAGGAGAGGGGAGGAGGAGGGAAAGGGGGGGGGGGGGAGGGAGGGAGGGAAGAGAGAGAGGAGAGGAGAGGGAGAGGAGAGAGGGAGAGAGAGAGAGAGAGAGAGAGAGAGAGAGAGAGAGAGAGAGAGAGAGAGAGAGAGAGAGAGAGAGAGAGAGAGGAGAGAGAGAGAGAGAGAGAAGAGAGGAGAGAGAGATGGAGAGAAGAGAGAGAAAGAATAGGAGAGGAGAGAAGAGAGAGAGAGAGAGAGAGAGAGAGAGAGAGAGAGAGAGAGGAGAGAGAGAGAGAGAGAGAGAGAGAGAGAGAGCGAGAGAGAGAGACTCAGAGAATAGGATAGGAAGGAGAGAGAGAGAGAGAGAGAGAGAGAGAGAGAGAGAGAGAGAGAGAGAGAGAGAGAGAGAGAGAGAGAGAGAGAGAGAGAGAGAATAGGAGAGAAAGAGAGAGAGAGAGAGAATAGGAGAGGAGAGAGAGAGAGAGAGAATAGGAGAGAAGAGAGAGAGAGAATAGGAGAGAAGAGAGAGAGAGAATAGGAGAGGAGAGAGAGAATAGGAGAGGAGAGAGAGAGAGAATAGGAGAGGAGAGAGAGAGAGAATAGGAGAGGAGAGAGAGAGATAGAGAGGAGAGAGAGAGAAGAATAGGAGAGGAGAGAGAAGAATAGGAGAGGAGAGAGAGAGAAGAAGAGAAGAGAGAGAGGAGAGAGGAGAGAGAGAGAGAGAGAGAGGAGAGAGAGAGAGAGAGAATAGAGAGAGAGAGAGAGAGAGAGAGAGAGAATAGGAGAGAGAGAGAGAGAGAGAGAGAGAGAGAGAGAGAGAGAGAGAGAGAGAGAGAGAGAGAGAGAGAGAGCGAGAGAGAGCGAGAGAGAGAGAGAGAGAGAGAGGAAGGAGAGAGAGGAATAGGAGAGAAGAGAGAGAAAGAATAGGAGAGAGAGAGAGAGAGAGAATAGGAGAGGAGAAGAGAGGAGAGAGGAGA